GTTGTCTCAGAAAGTGGGTGAAAATGAACACGTGGTGGCCTACTTCAGTAGGGTCCTGAGTAGACCAGAGAGGAACTTATCACCATACAAAAAATCTTTTGACAATATCTTTTGTGCTGACACCTCTGTTAGACAAAGAGTATTCCCTGCATGAGGTGGATGTGGTCATCCACCAAGTGTTTCCCCACTTACTTGGCTCCATGGGTTTTACCTTTATGTTCTCAGATGCATTTTTTAATTTTTTTCTCTGCAATGTCTCCTTCACCATCTTATCAATATAATATTCTAGTTCTTTGTTGTACAGAGTGAGGAATAATTTCTGAAGTTAACATCTTCCTTACCTGAAAATATATTTTATATTGTTACTCACCTCTTTACAACCTCCTACTATTCCACCCCAATTCTGTGTATTTCTTTTTGCCTCGTCAATAATGTAACTTTGTTCATGTGCTAGTGCTCTTGGAAATTACTGCATATGGAGGTTGTATCATCCTCCCACTGTTGGAGGGCTATAGTCTAATGATGTTTACATCATAGGCTAGCATAGTATCTTCATGGCAGTGGGGAAATGTAATAATTTTTTGATGTGCAGAGTTGAGTAAATAAATACCTGCAAGAACATTTTAATTTCACATCTTTGTCTGAACTTATATTTAAAATGATAAATAAAACACATGATGTTAAAATTGGTACACAATTAAAAATATTTTTAATTAAGTCCAATCTATGGCCTCCAAAAAGTCAACTCTAGATGGTTTATCATTACATCATCATCATTAGAAGTGAACTGCAAGACATGATAGTATCATATTTATACCTTTTTTAACTAGAGCATGTGACCTACATATTGGTTTACAATTCCTGCATAACCTTTAGATGAGTTCATGTCATGTTCTTGCACAGATATTCACTGGACCTTCAATGCTATGTAATAATTTATGATATTTTGTATACTTGATTCACCAATATTATTGGTTTTAATATCTTTTGTTTGAGCTGATATTACAGGTTTTTACCATAATTCTGTATGTTGTGTTTTATGTACATTCTGTGCTATGACAAATATATATATATCCCTTGTATGTCCAATATAAATCCTTTCACATTTACTTTCAATTTTGTAAATTCCAGCTCTTTCTATTAACTGAGTATTATCTTCAGTATTACCTAAAGTTTGCTTTATCTTATTTATTGGTTTAAATATAGGGTAAATATTTTTGTTTTTTAAATACTATAAATAAACTAGTAGTTAAACCTGAAACGTATAACAATTTTATCAGAACTTTGTTTTAAAGTAATACTTTGATTCATTATTATAATTTCTTAACTGCTCTTTCTACAATATTTAGGATAAATTCTCTTTCAAATACTATGTATTTCATTAGGAACAATTCATTTTGAAGTCTTCTTGTTTAGCTATTCTCGTTCATTGCTGCCCTCTGTATGTGAAATATTTTAATATGCATGCCACAAGCCTTCTGCATCCCCTTATTGGAATCAAATGCTGAAATCAAATCATGCTGAACAATTCACCTTTCAGTTGGGCAATGGCATCAGTATGCCTTATCCCCCTTGGGCTTCAGATCAGTCTGCCCTCTCATATCATAGGGCTGACTGTCTATATCTCAACCAACAACTATTGGGTTTGGTTTTATCCATTTGGGGGCAGGCCCCGAATCTCTCGTTAGTCACACCCATGCCAAATTTTCCTGTCTTTGTCTTACCCTCATGACTCTTTTGCAGTACCTTTCCACAATTCATCTCCTATTTGAGGCTCTTCACAGAAATCCTGAAGGATTTTCTGGGTCATCCTCTCCCTCCTTACCTCCACATTGGCTCGTTTGTCATCTTTGCCTCTGGCTTTACAAACGTGATTTATCTGTTGTTGGAACCTTTTAGGTCTTGATGCTGTTTTATCTAGAACCTGATTATCTCCTCCTTATCTTTGGGACTTGCTTATGGTTCCGTTTTTAAGACGTTTCGTCTTTGATACAGTCCTGGAGTCCTTGGAGTCTTAGACGGCAACTGTCCAGCAACAATCTACCCTTTTTTCATCTGGTAATCCATTAATCTCAGTCAGAGCCAAGTGTGGCACCAATTCCAGTTTCCCATCCTTCCCCTTCCAAACCCTTACCTGTCTCTCCTCCTTGCAGAGCCACAGGTCATCGTGTTTCTTGATGATGCATGATACATGCCAATAGTTCAGGTGACTACCTGATGGGAGCCCAACTTGCAGCCTTTGTTCATCAGTGGCATCCTATCATCACTGATGTTTGGGTTCTTCAGGTTTTGTCTGAGGGCCTCGAAATTCCATTTCTTGCCCCACCTTCCTTTTTCCCAGATACATGATTCCTTCCCTTCTCTTTGGGATCCCATAACTTGCCAGTGTCTAACAGAGGTGGCACAGGACCTTTTCACCCACCAGGCTATTGAACCTGTTCCACATAATTTGCTGAGGTTTTATCCCAGTCTGTTTGTTGTTCCCAAAAAGACCAGGGACTGGAGGCCTGTCTTAGATCTGTCCCGCCGCAATCAATTTGTTTACCTCCCACGTTTTACCATAGAGTCCTACCTCCCTCTTTCGTGGGTATTTTCTCTGGATCTGTGGATGACCAAGATGGACATCTCCAATGCTTAGCTGCATATTCCCATCTCATCTGTACTTTTGGTTCGTCCATCTAGGGGTGGTGTACCAATTTAGCTCCCTACCCTTCTGCTCCTTATGTTATCTGTTGGGTGTTGAGAGCTTTTGCTCGACATCTTCATGCTCTGGGGCTGCATTTCCATTTTTACATGGACGACTTGCTACTTATGGCCCTTTCTAAACAGGAGTCGGCCATTCATACTCATCAGCTCCTTCTGAAAGCTGCTCCGTTAGGCTGGTTGATCAAATTGGAGAAGTCCTTCCTGCATCCTACCCAATACCTTGTGCATCTGGGTGTCTTTTTCAACGCTCACCTCAGTTGGGCCCAACCTTCTCCTCTCTGACTCCATTCTATGGAATTATCAGTTCACCATGCCCTGTCTGCTACCTCACTTTCTGGCTTTCCTCACATTGATGGATTTGCCACCACCTTAAATCACTCTTTTGGTCCCTGGTACATCATCCTCAGGCTTTGGCTATAGATGTCTTCAGCCAGGATTTGTCATACAAATTCCTGTATGTTTATCCTACTATCTGATTGCTTCATCAGGTAGTTTCCCTTATCCATGCCACTCTGTGCTGGGTCCTTCTTATTGTTCCCTACTGGCCAGCTCACCCATGGTTTCCTCATTTGCTCCAACTACAGTTATTCCCTCCTGTACCACTTCCCTTATTACCTGACCTGCTTTGTCAATCCCAGTCATCAGTTCTGCATCCCACACTTCATGTCCTTTGTCTTCACACCTGTTATTGTCCAGTCCTTGGTGAGAAGATCTAGTTTCTCCCCTTGTGTAGCTTTTCATTTGGCTCAATCCATTCATCCTTCCTCCATGGAAGTGTATCAGTGAAAGTGGAAGGTCTTTCTTACATAGGCCCAGGCTCAAGGATTTCCTGCTGCTTGTCCTACTGTTGCTGGTTTCTCCAAGTTTCTCACTTGGCTTTTCGATCAGGGGTCTTTGGTCTCCTCAATTTCAGGTTATCGGGCAGCTTTATCCCATACCTTTCATATTTTCTGTTACTGCAGGGTTTTTCTGTCACCCCTCCTTGTCATGTTAATTCATTCCTTCCAGATTCATTGACCTCCTCAACAACCTATTCTTCCAGATTGGCAAATTAATGTGCTCCTCCATTTCCTTAATTTACCACCAATCGAACCTATTTCCTCGTGTTCTTTGTTTTACCTGTCCCTAAGACGTATTTCCTTCTCCTTTTGGCCTGTGGGCATCAGTGGTCTGACTTGTTTGCAATTGATGTTACATGCACACATTTACCATACCTATCTTCTCTTTTATTTGGATTGTTTCTTCCTTTCCAAAACATTGGCAACTTGTGAGGGCAACTCCTCCTTTTTGCCTATTTCCTTTCCCTCTATTTCTCATCCCGATCCAGATCAACTTCTATGTACTGTGCGTGCCCTTTATTGTTATGTTGCCCTCAAGGCTTCCTTCCATGGTTCCCTTTCCTATCTCTTTATCCCATGGCAACCCTCTTTGCCCAGAGATCTATCACCTTTTACTCTCATAAATTAGCTTCGTCATTTGATCCTGTCCTTGTCACCTTTCCATCATACTTTCTTCTATGTTATCTCTCATCAAATCTGACACCTCACCTTTTCCCTTGCTTCTCGTTTTCATTGGCCTTTGGAGGAAATCCTCCAATTGGGCATGTGGACCAACCCTAACACTTTCATCTCCCATTATTTACATCATATTGCGGTTTCGGCTTCCCAGGATTTTCGCTTTCCACCTGTGGCTGTACTTCAGACTTTGGTGCATCTCTGACACTGGATAAATCTTTATTAATATTTTCTTTTCTTTCAGGGGCTCATTCTTCATACCTTCATTAGATGTATCCCACTCTGCGGCAAGTGGTCCGTTACCAGGTATTCTTTAACTATAAATCTGCACTGGATGCCATGTTGACTGACGCTTTCCTTTCCATGGCTTCGCATGCTCATCTTTGAGATGGAGTGTTTCACAAGATCACTTGTAGGTGAATAACCTCGCGATACTTGCTTCTTAAATTGGCCCATCTTGGACCGTACCACGTATGGATTTCATGGGTAAAGCAGAAGTGGATAGCTGCCCAACTCTGCCATGCCTTGATTGAACAAATTGGTATGGTCTTCTTTTTAAAATAGGGTTTCATGATCATCCATTGCACTCTCTTGGGTGTTGACATTTTTCTGGGCTCTTCAATGCATTCTCAGCCCCCACCCCCACCCCTTTTCTTCTAGTGGAGTATGAGAGTCGTTCAGGAACACCAACAATGAGGCTGATAAGAGAAACAGAAATTTAAAATATTTTTCTTTTTAAAACACTAACAGTGAGTCAGATAAGAGAAACAGAAAGTTAAAATATTTTTATTTCTAGGAACACCAACAGTAAGGCTGATAAGAGAAACAGAAAGTTAAAATATTTTTATTTCTAGGAACACCAACAGTAAGGCTGATAAGAGAAACAGAAAGTTCAAAGAGGCTGAGCGGTTATTTTCAAAGTCTTCCATAACATCTATGGCAGTAAGTCAGTTATGGGATTTTTATAATTCTAATATCCTGTAAAAGATAATTTATAAATAAGTATTATGATGTTTAAAATGTCAAATTTTTCTATGATAAAAAGAGTTTAAAAATCTTTTTCATGGGTATTTTATGCAAAGCAGAGTTTTGGCTTTAATGGACTGCTCCTGCCTTCCAGTTGAAGAAGGCATCAGTATAGAAGCCAAAACTTTGTCCCACCCTGGAAGAAGACAGGAGCATTCCATTAAAGCCAGAACTCAACTTTAGAAATCTACTTGCACTATGAATTTTGAAAAATTTCTTTGAAATTTATTATTATATTAAGGTATTAACCCTCTCAATACAGGTAGATAAAAGTGAGCATGTCACACCTTTTTTTTTAACAAAGCATTTTTTTATGGCACTTAGAAGGTAAAATTGACTGAGTGCTAGAATATAGGAAATAACAGATAAAATATAAAGTTTTACTCAGGCAAACTTGATATTTATTTAGGAGGTTTTAGAGGTTACTCAAATGAAATATGAAAACTATAAAATGGAAAAATAATTTTAATCTTAAGTTGAAAATCACCTTCTTATTCTTATTCTATATATTCACATTCTTATTCTATATATTCACAGACAAATCTTTAGTAAAAATATCTGTGTAGAAAACACTTGTAATGCTTACTGAAAACTTGTTTAATTTCATGAAGATACACTTACCACATTAAAAGTTATTGTATGTATACTTTTCTGGTGGTTGCAGAGTTGATCAAAATGACCAAACCAATATAAAGAGAGTTATTAGAAATTTTCTAAAATTTTTATATGTTTACCATATTTCTCTTCTCTAGACTGCATTGATGTATTTTGAGTTTAGGAGAGTATGTACACAACTTAGAAAGCTAAATTATCCAACTTTTCAGGTTTCAAAAGGTATAGGAAGGTAATTGAAATACACACTGTTACTGTAAAGATCCATATTTAAGGCTAATATAAGAATTCCAAAATACATTGTATTTACAATATTGCTAAATCTATATTTAAATGAGTGGAATATTTAAATTATTAGTAATTTAATGTGTCTATTCTTATGTTTAATACTCAAAAAACATTATACTGTATTAACATATACTTGATATGCTATATTGTGTTTTAACAAAGTGAAGTGGAAACCTGGTGTGTTGATTCAAAATTAAATACATAGATGTTTACTGTTTTGTATTATAAAGAATTGTATTTTTCAGGTAGTGAGTGGGATCATTGAAAAGGAAGAAAAGGGTGAGAAAAACAATACTAAAATAAAATACAGATGTTACAAAGTGATTTTGAAGATTATGAATTAGTATTTACATTAAATACATATCATCCCTTGCACTAGGCTCACATCATGCAAAATGGTAGTTGAAATGATATAGAGACATGTTACTAAATTATATTTTATAATTTTCGAGCAAATCATATATAATCATTCATTTTTAAACAACTTGTTAATGCACTGTAAAATGCTCATTAATGATTTTGTAAATGAAATTAACATGGGCCAAGCATGGTGTAGTGGATAATGTGTTGTGCTGGATATTCAAATACCCATGGTTTGAGCTATAATATCTTGGTGAACATACACTCAGTATTACTGTAATGTAAGCTCTTCAGTAAGACATTAGTGTAGACATAGACAGTTTAGTATCATATTAGTGTGGACTGTTCAGTAATACAGTAGTGTAGACTTTTCAGTAATACAGTAGTGTGGACTGTTCAGGAACACATTAGTGTGGACTGTTCAGTAATACAGTAATGTAGACTGTTCAGTAATACAGTAGTGTAGACTGTTCAGTAATACAGTAGTGTGGACTGTTCAGGAGCACATTAGTGTGGATTGTTCAGTAATACAGTAGTGTGGACTGTTCAGTAATACAGTAGTGTAGACTGTTCAGTAATACAGTAGTGTGGACTGTTCAGGAGCACATTAGTGTGGATTGTTCAGTAATACAGTAGTGTGGACTGTTCAGTAATACAGTAGTGTGGACTGTTCAGTAATACAGTAGTGTAGACTGTTCAGTAATACAGTAGTGTGGACTGTTCAGTAATACAGTAGTGTAGACTGTTCAGTAATACAGTAGTGTGGACTGTTCAGTAATACAGTAGTGTAGACTCTTCAGTGATACCATAGTGTTGACTGTTCAATATTTCAGTGATGTAGACTGTTCAGAAGTATAGTAGTGTAGAGTGTAGTCTGTTGAGTAATGCAGTAGTGTAGATAGTTCAGTAGTACAAAAGTATAAACTTTAGTAATACAGTAGTCTAGATATCTATATCAGTAATATAGCCTGTTCATTAGTACAAAAAGTGGACTCTTCGGTGAATTAATATAACGTTTTAAAGAGAGGTTTTGAAAACTAAATTTAATATTTAAATATAATAAAATTATTCTTACACATATTCATAAACTTATTTAAAATGCTCCGTTATCTGTGCTTAATCCATCTGTTGTCTAAATTTTGACTTTGATAAACTGCTCCTTCCTATTTCTAAAGTAGGACATCATTCTAGTTTATATACTTCTCCAAGTGAACCTGAAATATAACCCAGAATGTTGTCCCCTTCTTGAAACAAGCAGGAGCAGTTTATTAAAGCCAAAATTTAACTGTGCATACACTGCCTGAAATACTTTTAAAACAACAGCTGTTGGTTGTTTTTAACTAAATATGTATCTGTTGATTATTCTATAGAACATGAGAGTGAAACAGAATCACAGAATGCTAATAGTGGAAGTGATGATGTTGAAAAGACACAAGCTATCCCCAATTCTGCTTCCAAAGCAAACACATCAAGCAGCAGTAGTTCAAGTAGCTCAAGTTCCTCTGTAATAAATGAAAGTCAAACTCCAACAGGTAACCCACCATCTAAAATTCTTAAAATGAGCACAACTCAAAGAATGAAGAAGACCTCTAAGAAAGCAAGACAGAAGTAAGTAAACACAGTTTACTTCTGTTATTTTTCTAACTTAAAAGAAAAAAACAAGACAATTGTACATTTCACAAATACTTCATTTGTTTTGACCATGGTTTTGCCAGCAAAGGCATCATCAGTTACAGACTGAAATGTTTTGTAGCAGGGTTTATATATATATATATATATATATATATATATGTTTAAACAAAGAAATGGAAGTGACCTTGACATTCACATAGAGACAAGTAGGGAGGAGCTAAAGTTGGTTTGGTCATTTAGAGCTTTTTCTCGATTTGTTTGTTTTTAGATATCTATTTATTTATAAAATTTCCAGACTGTCTAGTTTTTTACCTTTTTCACAGATATGTAAAATTTTGCAGTTTTTTTAATGAAAAAGTTGGTGTTTAGTTTCAATAAGGTGGGGTGCAAAGGTTGAATCCATTTTCCTTAATTTCCAACTTCTTGATTGTTCTTTAATTCTCATTTCTATGGGATGTTCTGTTTGATCTGTATATACACTATCATAGTCTTCACATGTTAGTTGGTGGGGAACCATAGCTAACCTATTGTTCTGTTTATATATTTGGTCATTAACTTTGAAGTAATTAAGAAACGGTACTACCTCCACTCTTCCATAGCTATCTCTTGTCCTCTAGGCATTGGTAAATCTTATGAACAGCAGACAGTTTTTTATACCTCTATATTTTTTGCATCATTGCTGCAACATGTGCTGATCATGTGACCATCCTCCACCAATTCCATTGCACCCTCTATACTAGTGCAGGTAGCCCCCTCTACCATTGCAGCACAATCCCCACTTTCTCAGTTGACATTAATGTGTTTAGATGTGTGTTTTCAGTTATTCTTCAAGCAAATTTTGCTATGTTTTTGTGTGTTTTCTTGCAAGTTTTCACTTTTAGTTGGAATTACTTGTTCATTTAGTAGTTCCTTTACTATTATACATTTTTTTAAAAGTCCATGTGGACTAATGAATTCGAATTTTCATGTGGCAGATGAAGAGGTACCCACCAATATGGATGAAACTCATGTCACTAGTCCCCAGCGTGGCGAGTTACCGATGTCGGCCAAGGAGATTCAGGCATTAATTAAGAGGGAGATGGATGCTTTCACTGCTTCTTCTGCTCTTTCTCCCTTCACCCAGGTCCACGCTTCTGAAGAAGTTTTTCGACGGGGGGAGGGAGAGGAGAGAACAATTTTGACTAGGTTTTTCCTACCCCAGTTATTTTCAGCTAGTCATATAACACTTACTGTCAGGAGAGTCTGCTGACCATGCCTTTTTTATCCTTATTGATCAGGTTTGTCAATTTCTGCATTTCTCCCCTTTATCCCTTGATTATTATTATTTTTCTCCCTCTCCCGACATTTTTGTTTGTGCTCAAAATTTTGTTGCTCAAGTACAGTCAGGAGTGGGTATGCCACCTCAACTTTTGGACCAAATCTCTTTTGCTTACCAAAGTGCCTCAAATCCATATTTGGATTCTCAGCATTTAGATCCTTTTCTTCCCTTACAATTCACATTACATTGACCAGCCTTTTATATGTTCTTTCCTATTTACAGTTGTTGTCTCAAGCCGTCCACCAGTCTCCTGATCAGTTATTGGCCAATCTTTCGATCCTCCTATAGTCTGCTATGTCCTGGTTGTTGGCTTCAGCTTTGTCCCTCACCACTTGGATTTTATGTTGTTGGGATTTACTCGGGAGTGTTGCGTTACTTGCGGGGGTGCGTCTCCCCCTTTCATCATTATGGGAACTTTGTCAGGCCCCATTTCTGTGTGATACTGTCTTTGGGGATCTTCCTGAGTCTTTGGAGTCCAGGGTCAATGTGGCGAGATTGCATTCTTCTTTGTCCTCCATTGCTTCTCGTTTGTCTTGCCCTACTGATTCTGCTCAGTCTTTGCCTGTTCGAGTGCCCCGTGCTCCTTCTTCTTTACCCCGCCCTTTTCCCTACTCCTGACATCTCCTTCCTTACAGCCATTCTTCCTGTTCCTGTTTCTCTCGTCTTATCGTTATCAGTGATGGGATATCTTTCCATGGGCGGGTGGGGGCCAGGTTACAACTTTTTTCACCATCTGGAAACCCTTAACAATGGATCCATGGGCGTTACAGGTTCTGTCAGGAGATCTGTGAATTCAATTCCAGTTCCCTCTTCCCCTATCCTCTTTCATGGTTTCTTTTCCTTCTCCTTGGGATTGAGTCTTGTCAAATTGTCTGGTGGAGTCAGTTCTCAATCTCTTCACAATGGTGCTGTAGAACGTGTGATACCTGTTTGTCAGAGTTTTTACACCTGTCTGTTTGTTGTCCCCAAAAGGAGGGAAGATTGTCGACCTATTATCGATCTATCCTGGCAGAATGCCTTCCTAGACACACCCTGTTTCACCATGGATTAATCCTACCTCTCTCTTTGGTGAATTTTTCCCTGGGTCTTTGGATGACCAAATTCAATGTGACAGATGCTTATTTTTATATCCCCATTGCTCAGGAGTCATGGCATTATCTTTGGTTTGTCCATGGGGAGGATGTGTTCCAGTTCCATGCACTACCGCTTGGTCTTTCCTCAGCTCCTTATGTGTTCTGTCAGGTTGTCCATGCCTTTGTATGTCATCTACATTAGTTCGGTCTTTGGACTCATCATCATATGGATGATTGCCTCCTGTTCGCCTCTTCCCAAGCCCAATCTTCCAATCACACCTTCTTTCCTATTTGGGAATCTGCTCGGATGGGATTTTTCATCAATTCTCTTCCATTCCCATCTCAGTCAGGCCCAGCTTTCACCATTTCAGCTCCTGGGTATGGAACGAACAGTCACTTAGGCTCTGTCATCACCTTCTCTTCCTGCTCGAGAGGTTCTTTCTCTTTTGAGGACGGGGCCTCCCTGGAAGCTCTCACTCCCTTGGGTCGAGCACATGTACGTTCCCTTCAGTGGATGCTTCTTGACCAGTGGAAATTCTCGTGCAATTCCTTGGATCATCCTATTACCCTTCCCTCAGAGATCAACTCCGACCTTCTTTGATGACAGGGCTCTCACCATGGTGGGGATTTCTCTCCCTCTGCCTTGTCTCGACTTGCATCTGTTCCATCGAGGAATTTACTTAACCATATCGACCACTTGGAACTGTTGGCAGTTCATTGGGCTGTCACTCATTTTCTCCCAGTCTTATGAGAGCAAGTGGTTATGGTTCATTTCGACAATTCAACTGTTGTCATTTATATCTCCAAACAAGGGGGTACCAAGCCCAGGACCTTGCATTTTCTCCCACCCGACCTCTTATACTGGGCTCACAGCTACAATATCACACTCTTGGCGTGTCATGTTCTGGGTGTTATGAATCTGGTTGCAGACCATCTATCCAACCCCAACCAAGTTCTTCCTACAGAGTGATCCCTTCACTTTCTTCCATTTCGTCTCCTGTCCCACACACCTCAGCTCTGGGGTAAATGCGTTCAGTTAGTATTGGAGGGGTCTTCATCTCTATACGTACCCTCCGATCAGATTCCTCTCCAGTGTATTGGCCTGCTCAGTCATAGTTTCCTCTACTTAACTTGGATAAGTTAACATTTTGATTTCACTTATGCATACTTTGCATTTCTGGATCCAACCTTGTGGTGGGTGCTGCCTGGTAAGATATGCTGAATCATTTTATACTAGCGCTTACTTCTCTTCTTTCTAATGCTCACTGTGGAGATGGGGTGTTTCAGTAAGACCACCTGACGCTTTTCTGGTGGTGTATCTTTATCTATCTATCTATATGTATATACTGGACAACCCGTGGCCCGTTGGGTCACCCATTATTCAGAGGTTATGAAGAATTCAAACTAATTTCAATCTTGCACCAAAATGAAGGTTTATTTTGGAATAATTTAATTAAATATTTCAATCCATTCATGTTATTCATAATTCAAAAAAGATATTTGATTGTTAATAGGGAGTAAAAGTAAAGACCATATCACTTTTCAAAAAAGTGAAGTCAGAGTTTTCAGATATTGTGATGAATTAGTTCATTATGTTGTGGTCTTTCCTGTTAAACCTTCTACAAATAAGAAACAGTAACACTTTATTTTTTCTTCTAATTACCTACCATAACTAAGGCACATTATTGAGAATTCTTCAATATCTTGTTTTTGTCATCTTTCGCCTTTTAATGAAGATGGGAACATTGACAGGGAAATAGATTTGAACGAAGAAGTTTCGTAAAAAATGCGAACGGTAGTGGAATGTAAGATTACTCATGCTAGAAGTTTTCATAAAGTGACTCGAAAAATGGTGCTAACTCGGTAACTCGTGGCCCGATGAAGTTTTGTAAAGAGCTCGATTGGTAGTGTGAATGATTTTTTGACTGAGAAAATAGGCAAACAAACAATCTCAGAGTTTTAGTAGTATATAGATAAATTAAATTTTTCAAGATCTTGTTTTTGTCATCTTTCGCATTTTAATGAAGATGGGAACATTGACAGGGAAATAATATAATAGCCAATGCTCAGCGAGATGTTTATGTTTATAAAATTTTGTTGTTGTTCTCGACTTGATTTTTATTTTATTACCTCGTCTCTATAGTTACTATTTGCAAATAGTCAATAATATTGTAGGTCCATTTTATTGTTGTTCTTTCTACGTGCCGTTATAACACATTTTCATCTCATCATTTAATTTCTGTTGTTCATATACTGTTGTATAGAAGATATTAAAGTGACCCGAAAAATGGGACTAACTCGGTAACCCGTGGCCTGATTTTAACGAAACTTGATTTATTCTGTTTCTATTCTCATTTCATTACAAATATGGTGCCATTGTGCACCATTTTTGCTGTATTTAATTACAGACAAGCCCACACACAAACAATCTCAGAGTTTTAGTAGTATATAGATATATATCCTGAGGACCTACTGACCCATGATTCTTACAATCTTTCTGCTTTTTAAAATATGGAAATGCAGACAACCATTGCACTGTGTCCAGTGGGTCATTCCTCTGGAACCCCCAATGTGTCTTCCCCCTTCTTCTAGTGGAGCATGGGGTCCTTGCCACTTCCGGTTCCCATTTACTGAAGTGGTGGACCATAGAGGTTTCTTCACAAGTGGGTTTTGTACAATAACAAAATCTCATAGCCATCTGTACTCACTTGATGAGAAGAGGACTGTCGTCGTTATGCTGCCTATTATACACACATTATGGCACTATATCTATTATGCAAGGTGCTTCCACTGGATGTTTTCTGTCCAGATGGACCGCACTTGACATAATCCAAGGGGGTTGCTGGGGCAGACTGCACTCGCTGATTTTACAAACTTATACAAGCTGCTTTCAAGTTGTTTTTGTCCTTGGACAGCACTTGCCATAATACATTGGATCTCAATGCACTTCCCCTGGATGTTTTCTGCCCAGGCAAACTGCACTTGGCCTATCCATATATGTCCCTCTAGTGCTAGCCACATATTCTCTTCATTTCTACCCTATGTGTCTTATCTTCTTTACTGGGTGAAGAGCATACCTGTTGCCAGAAGTAATGCTATACCCCACATGGGTATTTTAATAGTGGCGTACCTTCTTTTTTTCATAGCAGTCACTCTGCACTTGATTATTTGTTTTTGTGCCTTCACTGGCCTCTCCACCTTTCCAGTGTGAGATTCTAGCTATGGGGGAGCGGTGATAGTACCGTTTCGGAAGTAAATATTTTCTAACACTGAAAATGTATTTCCCATAGGTACTTACCTCCTCTCACCCACTTCCCACCCTTTCTCCCCATTGATTTGTCAGTGTTTTCAGATTTGCATATGCCAATTCTCAAAAGTGAGAATTGTGCAGCAATGGTAGAGGGAGCTACTTGCACTAGCATAAAGGCTACAATGGAATTGGTGGAGGGTGGTCACATGGTCAGCAGATGTTGCTACAATAATGCGAGAAATATAGGGGTATAAAATACTGGTGTGCTGTTCATAAGATTTACCAATGCCTAGAGGGCAAATGAAGGTCAAGATAGCTATGGGGGGGGGGTAAGTTCCTATCGGAAATACATTTCCCCAAGAACTAGCTAGTTTCAATTATCAATTATTTAAAATTGACAGTAAATAAATCTATGTTTCTAATGTGATACAACAATTGTTATTGAAGTGGCTTTCCTAGTTACCATGTTTTAGTTGATTTCATTAGAATCATTTAACTTTTTTTGGCAATTAGTTTCTAAAAGAATGTATCCACTTTATTTAGGTGTATATTAAATTAAGATATTTTTTGAAACAGATCTTTTTAATGTTTGTAGAATAGAAGGGAAGCTCAAGAAGGGCAGAGGTGAGAGTTTGTTTTTTATTTCATATTCTATTTATTGTAGGTTAGTGATTTATATTTCTTGATTTATTTCCATAGTCCTGTTTATCAGAATAATATTTTTGCACATGAATTAGGTTGTTTAGTCTGAAGTATTTGAAGCAGCAACAATGTTGCTTGTGTTTCTCTGTTTATTCTGAATTAGCAACAGTGATAAATGTATTTTTCTGTTTACTTTGAAGTATCAACAATGGTACTTGTGTTTTTTGTTTATATTGAAGTATCAACAGTATTTCATATTTCTTTATTTTGAAGTAGCAATAACGATACTTGTGTTTTTTGTTTATCTTGAAGTAGTATCAATGGTGCATGTGTTTTTTTGTTTATTCTGAAGTAGCAACACTGGTGTATGTGTTTTCCTGTTTGAAATTGAGTTGTTTAAACATTTGTTTAACAATAAGTAAAAGCTTGGAGTGGTCTATTCTTTCATTTGGTGTGTGTCTGTGAGCCAGACTAGTGTTGGAGAATTCCACTCCACATCAGTGACCCTGGACACTATCACCAATGAAAGTTCAGACCAAACCAAGCCTTTATAGTAGTGAGGTATCAAAAGTCGAAATGGTGTCCGCTAACATTATTAAGAATTAAATTGTGGCGGAATGCTACAAGTTCTTCAAATACCTATAGAATGATAGGTCTTTTTTGTGAGTGTAAAATACTTAAATACACCATTTTTTCCTGTTTATTTTGAAGTAGCAGCAATGGTACATGTGTTTTTCCAAAACATCTTTACTCTTTGCTGCCACTTTAGCTATTCCTTGACATTGGCTTTTCCTATCTAAGCATTGATCTTGCATGCTTCAGTCTTTTATATCCCAATTAAATGCCCTTGGCAATATCTACTTTGCAAATCCCTCCACCCACTTCAGTGTGCCCTCTATCCCGACACTGTATATAAGCACTTCACTTAGATAATGTAATCACTTTTTCTCAGCAAAGTGTTGGTCACAGTGTTTTATGACAAAGTGCTGTAGTTCGTTCCACTATGGATTGCGATTTTCGTGTCACCTTGCGGATTTCCATATAATTATTATTTCTTTAAAACAAAAAACAATGGATGTGATGTTTGTGGGTATGAATTTCCACGTGACCATTGTCAGCATGCCAGGTTAATCCAACCTCCCTGATTCCTCAGTTGAGGCTGTCTGTGTTTTGACTTGTTGGGAGATGGAGACATACATTCGGCCCAGGGCATTTTCTCTGGAGCCTCTGAAGTTGTTTTTTGTTGATCCTGGTTTTTTTAGGGTGAATTTGGACTCTGGTTTTCTGATGCTTTTCTTTCCCAAGTCAGCTTCTCACGAGTCCAATTTGGATTTCCCACCTCCTACTCCTTTTCTTCAATTGGTCATTTGGGTTTATGAAATTTTGGGGCTTTTCTCTGTGACCTTTGAGTGTACTCCTCCCTTGATGGTGGAACGATTGGGGGGGACTAGTTAGTTTTCCTTCTTCACCTGAGAGATTTACTGCTTTATTATGTGATGAGATAGAGATACCTTGTACCCTCGTTTGTCTGTAGGCATGCTTTGGCTTTCCACCTCCAGGTGGATGTTTTGTTTTTTTCAATTCCTCAGACTAAAATAATTTAATTTTGGATATTTTGGGTTCCCGGTTGGTTCATGTGATCTCTTTGAACCAATTACATTATTTTTTTGTATTTGTTTGCTCCTCGCACTTGTCTTGTGTTGTTTCTTCCCCCGCTAATTGTTGACAAGCTATCAATGGTCCCTACATCAATTTGTGGATGAACGGGGTCTCCTACTAATTTCTACCTTGGTCAGATTGACTGCTTTTGTTTCTTCTGTAGAGATACCTTAGTGATGGGTCTTTGTCTACCTGCTGTAGCCTCTGGGTGTTATATGTGTCTTCATTTTATTATCACTTGATGTTTGCAGGTGTCCCAGAAGTGTTTGTATTGTGAATTGCCATTATCCTTTTGCTTTTTTCTTGTTGTTGTCCTCTCGACTTTTTTTGGCTTTAGCAGCTGAATAGACTCAGACCTTAGTTTTAGGGCCACTCCATTTGGGTTGACCGACGCCATTGGCATCAGTATCAGCCTAGATGTGGGGGCAGAGGTCAGTTAGAGTGAAGTTACAACTATTGATGGACACCTTGTATTCCTTCAGTGCAGATCCATGGGTACTTCAGGTTCTGGTATTGAGATTGGTATTTCCATTCAATTCTCCATTATCCTCTCACCCTGTCGTACTTCAACCTCCACCTGACAAGTGGGGTGTGGATTTTCGTTTCACAGCTATCAGAGTTACTGATAACGTGGGTGTTAGTGACAGTTGATCACATTCTCCCAGGATTTCCTGTTTCTTTGTACCTGAGACAAGGGGAGATTCGTGTACAATCATCGTTCTTTCTCATCTTAACCCATTCTTCATTCCTCCCCAGTAAACAATGGAGTCTTTTCTCACCTTACATTGACATTCTTCACCAAGTCCATGGATGCCCAACTTGGAGGTTGCTGAGACATTTCTCCACATTCTCATAGTGAATTCATCTTGCCCTTAGCTTCATTTTGTATACAGGGATCTAGCCTTTGGTTTAGCATCAGCACCATATATCTTCTGCTAGGTTGTACAAGTTTTCACCATGTTTTACACCTGGCTCAGCCACCTGGTATCCAGATCTAGGCTATGGAACGGGAAGTCAGGCTCTTACTTACAGGAATAGTTTTACTTCTGGGATTGTGGGCTTCCCTCAAATCTCTTGATTTTTTGGGATGAGAACACATGATATCCCTTCAGTGTTCCCATTGCAACTAATGGACTTGGAACTTCAATACACTGGATTTTCCAGTCCCTTTCATCAGGGGCAACATCTTAGTTTTTGAGTGATGGTTGGTTTAAATTATCGCTATCATTAGCCTGTGTGTATATATATATATATATATGTGTGTGTGTGTGGTGGGTATATCAATGTATACTGCCATACTTTATCTCTTCACACATACTTCACTTCAGGACTGAGGTTTGCATCTTCAAGATCAGGAATTCCAGGGTATATGAATGGAGGACAAATCTTCATTCTGCATCAATAATTTCAAACTTCTTACTGTCCAACAAGCAATAAGTTTGAAATTATTGATGCAG